AAGATCTGCCAGAGGGTGTCGGGAGCGAGTATTCCACGCCTGCTGCGCTTGTAGCCATGATACAGGGTGAACCCAACCAACAGGATGTCCCCGGCTAATCTATGTGCATTAGACGATCAGAGAGCTGAGGAAACTTGAAGGGACGTAATTTATCCTACTGTGCCTCCCATGCTGCTGCGAAGCCTGAATTAAAAGAGTGGGTGAGCAGGAGTTCCAAGATACAACGCATCGAAACTCGTGTATATTTCTGTAAGGATGTGAGAGCACGAACTTGAAATAAGATGCCGTTGTCGTGTACTGGGTCATGGATGTCGTGATCTGACAACCGGGGACACTGGCACTGGTATTATAGGTTGGGTTCAAACCACCGGTCCAGATACACCACTTTATTGGTGCGTAGCAACTCAATGGATAGAAGGCACGAAGTATGGAAAGAGCGCACCGCGGCCACAGCGAGGACGATTGTTGCAGCAGAAATCAAGGTTAAAACGACCTCGCTTGTTGAATAAATACAAGGCAAGCACTCTCAGGATCAGCTTGCCTAGTTCAAACGAGATGAGTTTAAAATTGCACAAAAAACGATTGGGGCTCACATCCCACAAGCAACTCCTGAGCTACCATGAGGATCTCATTGGTAAGATGCAGCTTGTAGCAGCTACCGGCCGGAATTAACTCTATGCATATCTTTTGATAACCAGGTTATCTTACATCTACCGGAAATTTCAATCGTCTGTAGGGACTCTAGATACAAGGAGAACTGATCTCGGGTGTTAAGTTACCGAAGAGCAAGGAAAACATCGCCATGTTGCTGCAGAGAGCGAAATACCGAACAAACAAGTACAAGGCGGAGCTCTTTTTCTTATGATGACCTCGGAGGAGAACGAGAGAAGATGGTCATAGGTAAGGACAACTGTGTGACAAATTCATGGTGAACAGAACTAGGATCAATTGCTTTCATTCGCACCAATCCCAGCCAGGAACAGAGAGCGAGAAAGGCGGCTAGGAGTAGAATCTCAGGACAAGCTCTAATAATCTCGGAGCTGAGACTCACAGCTCCTGTAGACTTGTCGCGGCGTCAAGTGGTAAGGCTGCCATGGAAGCAGAAGGGCAGGGTAGAACAATGGGAGTGCAGCAATGCTCCCCAGATCTTTGTATATATATGGTAGATGTATTTTGGACCGTTGATCATAACCCGTGTTCGATGATCGCACAGGATACCAATAAATTCGTCAGTTTGCTGAGGCAATATCGTTTGGACGGGGTGGTTGAAGACGAACTGAACGAACCGGGGTCAAGTGTGGACCTTTGTGTGGCTTTTCCGCTGAGTGTGTTTCTGCAGCAGGATAAAATAGGTCCTTCAAGGAAGATTGACAAAAATGATGTCTTCGACTGAGGAATGGCTTGGGCTCGAGTCGAACGAGCAGACTCTGCTTACCTAGTCTCATAGACAGACGCTTCAACCAGAAATCCCGTACCTCGTTTGTTGAACTGCTTACCCTTCCTGTCATGGACAGGAGGATGCAGAAGTCCTGAGGATATAGGACAGCCGACACAGCGACACATCTTTCAAATCCGACACATGCCAAAAGCTGTCAGAATGGCCGACACAATTTTGAGGATATCCGACACACTCAAAAAGAGCGACACGAATCTGAGAATATCCAACACATGGATACGTCATTCATAAAATCCGACACATTGCAATGGGATCTGTCCCAACCAAGAGGCAGGCAACGGAGATTGCCGGGATATCAACCTATGAAGTCGAAAGTAGCCCCCCCACCCCCACCAGGTGACCGGATTGATCGGGCCGACCGGTTGCGGACCGATCTCCGTGGCTTTGCAAAACCATCGTTTGAATCTTCGCCGGTCTGCAGCCCATTCTGAGCTCCCAAAAGTATCCTTTAGGGATAAGGACAATGCAGTATACTAGTTATAAGGTTTCTACAAGACCGAATTAATGCAAATCTCATGTAAGGCAAACTAGCGAATAAGTATCAAGCGGGGAGTGCTCGACCTGAATTCCCCTTCCTTCGTTTAGAACTGGAAGCAGCAGAGTCCGAGGGTGCGGTCCGAACAGGGGCGCGATTACGGACTCCAAACTGCTGGGGAAGAGCATCGAGGCCTTCATCGGGTCCGGCAACTTTGTCAAACTTCGCCAGCAATTTGTCGAGCGGGATACCAAGCGCGACTTCTTCGACTCTCTGTATCTCCATACGCTCCCATAGCTCATGCGGTAGGCGTCGTGTGCCGGATGGGTTCAGGGGCGAGGCATATTCGGGGTGGGATTGTGCGAGGTGAGTTTCCATGTTATACCGCCATTGAGCTGGCTGCCAACCACCTTCCCTGCCCGCGGTGAGACGACTCGGGCAGAGAGTGCAGACAATGGGAACATTTCGGCATCTTGTAGTCGCGGACCCACGCTCAGCATACCCATATTTGAAAGGATGCGCATGTCGACAATTTGTCTGAACGGTGGTATTTTGCCGCGAAATCTTGACCGAGATCGCGCATTCTGCCCGTCCGGATTCGCCGCAGAAGCCACAAGGCAGACCACTGTCAACCTAATTACCTGAATTAGCATAGGAATGAGAATCGGAGGAATTCACTTGCCGGTTTCAAAAGGGGTGGTTCCTCCGGAACATTGCGCAGTTTGCAAAGGATATGCGCACCCATATGTGCCCGCAAATTTTCAGCCTTCTTGCGACATAGCTCGCAGCACTTTTCCGAGCGCTCGGCGCGCTCCTGTGCGAGTTGCTGAGATGGATGGTGACAAATTAAGGCGAAATTTCCTACGAATAATTGAACTCAGTCGAAACAAAGAAAATAATTCGATGTGCGCTTACCATCCGCGAAACGGTACGGGGAATTATTTCCGGCCTTTACTGCTGCAATCGAGCTGGGAGTAATGCTGTTCTCAACTGCCCTACCCCACAAAACCTCGGCGACGAGACCAAGTTGTTTATCATCGACCTCCCATGATTGACCAGTGGAATTAATTCGGCTCGCCATCTCCTCCCCCAAACGGATACTGGCGTCGACTCCGATAGGATCCACAAGCTCTGTCAAGCATCCAGGAACGGAGACAATCACTACCTTGTCCGTCGCCTCGGAGGTTCCTCGAACGGCGGAATCAGTCTTGATGTAATCACCATTCCACATCCAGGCCCATTCGGATGTATCCTCGTCGGAGTCAAGCCAGTTCTCGCCTCGAATCGCGGCGGTCATGATGGTGGGGACGGAGTCGAAGACGAGGGAGGCAGCCTTACGAACCAGCGTCACGGAATATATCTGGCCGCTAATCTTGACTTTTGCGGCAGGGTTTTTGATTGTTGCGGAAAGAAGGCTAGAACGAGAAATTCCGTCTTGGTGGATGGCGGTGGTACGAAGGATGGCCAAGGAGATGCTCGTATCGGTTTTGAGAAGGGTGAGGATGGGATCGCCGACAACGAAGACGTCCTTGCCGAGGAGGGAGGAAGGGTCGATATTGGTGTCATCGCGGGGGCGTCCATTGACGTTACGGTGACCACGAACGCGAAGGAGGCGGACTGTCGATTTAGGCTCAAAGTTTGCGGTGATGACGAGGCGACAGAGGCGTTGTTTGTGAACCCATTTCCCCTCCACGAGGATATAGTCCTCGGGGACAATACCTTTTCCCGACGGAAGTTCGAGCTCGGGGACCGTGTTTGCGAGACTTTCTTCGAACGAGATTCCATCGCCCTCCTCCTCCTCCTCAGGCTCCTGAACGGCATCGGGAACCTCTACATCAGTGCCCGCGGTGGCCTCAGCGGGCGCAGCACGTGCAGCAGCGGGTAACGAACGGTCGGGGCGACTATCAACGAGAGGAGTACTGTACGCTGGAGATAACCATTTTACTTCCTGCATTATCAAGGAGAATGGGGAGATTTGGTACCACGACGGCATTGATACTGGGAGAAAGTGTGAATATGATGGCAAGCTTCACGCTCTCCCAGCATTGGCCATAAATACATGTATCACTGAAGATGTCACAAGAAGAGCAGCTAGTGTAATCTATGTGAAATCCGAGCAATATGTTATCAAGATGTGCGGACCAACGCCGACCAACGCCGAAAGACAAAGTGGTGTGTGTCCATATCCGCGAAGTAAAGCGGGAGCAAGGCTTAGGTGTGGCAAGATGACTCTTGGCACAGTGGACCGCACGGCGGATATGTAGTAAGCATTGACAATCTAGGGAGGTTAGTCCTATACGCCATGTCCGATACACCGAAATTCCTGATTTTGTTAACATTGAACATGCATGACCATGTGGTACTTCTCTGTTCCAAGAAGTGTATATTTGCTGTTCAGAAAAACATAGAGGATGTTTTCTACTACTTCATACACAGAATTCTCATTAAAAAACCATAAGTATGAGGATCTGCCATGCAAAGCAGCGGCCTTACCCACCAAGTGAGTGTTATTCTCCTGTCTTTAATCTCTTTCGCACATCTGCTGTTGCCAAGGGGCAACCGGCATTCAAACCGGCAACCAAAGGCTGGTTAGTTACACCCCCATTTCAAGCATTTGTTACACAAACCTTGAGTGCGAACCATTTTTGTAACAGTCAAGAAACATTTGAGAATGGTCACAGCAACATCTCACAAACATTTGCAGAGAACATGTTGCTGAAAATGTCCCACCAATGTCAGTTCAACATTGTCCAAACATAAAGAGTTGAAAAATGCTTCAGGAATTGACACTTTTTTGAAAAATGTTGAGCAGTAAACATGTTTAAAATGTTTGAACCAAACACCTGTGTAGTCCGGCCTGCGCCAGGCCGGAAAAAAAAAAAAAAAAAATTGACCTTGAAGTTATGGCAGGGTTTCAAAGTAGGCATGCCAAATATTGCTGGTCCAGTCAATCAGAAGTGTGTTTAAACATGTTCTGGAGCAAGAAACTTGGTTTTGTACTAAATCCAAATCCAAATCCAAATCCAACTCTGGAGTAACCCTGATGGAAAAACAACATGTTGGGAAAAATGGCTGAACCAGGATTTGAACTTGGGACCTTCTCATATCATGGGAGATGCTCTAACCAACTGAGCTATTCTGCCAATAGTGTGAGAGGAACTGCATTACTGCACTTCAACACTCCCCTGGTTCCTGTGCACTATTGGCTCAAGTGGGAACTAACAAAGGGGGACACCATTTTCCCTAGGTCAACTCACAATGGTACTCGGGTCAAAAAAAATCTTGGACTCCACCCCGTTTCCGGTTTGATTTACCTTACCAAAAGGACACAAAAACACCAAATTTCGGGGGTTTATTTACTTTACGGCGGACAGAGCTAGGGCGGGGGCCTATCACCGCAACTCCCGCCGATCTTTGAGAACATGATGTGGGTATGGCCTCTTCGAGGCGGGTGCTTAACCTTTATTTTAGATTCTTTAGACCTTGCCGTGGACTGCAGGTAAGGTGGGTTGTTGTACCGTGTAGTGTTCTTCATATGGAGGGAGTAGGTGTGCACTTTTTACTCATCCGGTTCCAGCGTCTTCAACGTGTTCGGATTATATCACTCAGTTTTTATGGAAAACCTACCCTGAAAGCAGAGCAGCATAATTCAGGGAAAGTTTGAATGCCAGAATTTCGACCAGAAGAAGGCTCCGACGTTGTGGGGATACGATGATGAGGTCGATGTATGTGCATCACAATGATCATCAAGTCCGACACATTCGGTGGTACGTTGTTAGAAACCATATCTAAAAAGGTTTATGGCATTACCACTGTGTGCGCATAGTCCCAGAATACTTCCTTTGGCACAACCGACACACATGGACGGAACGGGAGGGAAGCGAAAATCTGTCAAGATCTCACGTGTTGCAGATTCGGATTCCGCATCACCGGTGCGAGAGCCGTGATCGGACAGGGAAGTACTACTAGCCTCAGGCCCTAGGCGAAATCATGATTGACACAGCCTTTGCCCTCCTTGCTCGCACACACAGACTTGCCTCTCGGCTCGGCTTTCTTGGGCGCGTGTTGTGGAAATCCTAGGGCCTCCAATATAGAGCAAGCCATCGCTGGATTCCAAGGCAGGCTCGTATAGACCCTGTTCTCACGACGACGCACGACGACGACGTTCTCTCTGAGACTCTCCACCTAGTGTTACTCTGCTCGCCTATGTCTGCATAATTCCATCGATTCTCACATCTCCCTCAACAAGTGACTTGACATGCCCCTCCGGAATTAAGTCGTAGAACCAGGACAGCCGCTCCCGAGAGTATCTCTTTGTTTTCTGTGCAATCAGCTCCGTGCGATCTAGCTCGTTTCTCAATTCTTCAGATATGTGGCTTCGTATGCGTTCAAGCGGAAAAGGGCGCAAAATGCAGAGACCCTTCAGTGAACGTACGCGAGAAAGCATAACGTACGCGCTCTGAATGCTCGGACACGACGCAAAATCAATGCAGCATACATCCATCGAGCGACCTTGGGAATTATGAGACGTAAATGCAAACGCGGGGATGAGCGGAAGCTGCGTTCGCCGCGCGCTGTACAGTTTATCTGAACCAGGCAGCCTGAAGTGGATTGTTTGGCTGATTGGCTTCAGAGTTACTCTGTGTGGATGCGGTGCGTTGGGGGCGCTTTTTCGATAGGCTTCAAAGTCAACATCTGCGGAGATTGCATATCGTCGGCCTCCGATTTCCTCAAACACTATGGACACGATCACACCTGGGCTTCCATTAGATAACCCAAGTTCAGTCGCAATGTTCTCGGTACAAAAGACTGACATCCCAGGCATATAAGGTACTTTTCCTCCTAGATCGTTAGCGTCTTTGACAGGAATTGCCCAGGATACTTCTGCAACTAAGCCTGCTAGTTGCGCTTTCTTGGATCCTCGACCCCGCGTGTCCATTGCATGGTAGATATTACAAGGCTGGCCAGTCACTTCCGCAAAAACTTCGGCCATGTTCCAGTTGTGAGCGTCTCGGGCTGCATTGGTGTATACAATGAGAGGGCACGCGTTCCCTGGATCTTCGACCCATCTTCTCGGATCGGTAAGTCGCTTCGTCTCCTCGCTGCAATCCGGGGTTGATAAAACATATTTGTCCAGAATCTCTTTATCTCCCTCGGTGCACGATCCCTTTCGCAGGTGTTTCAAGATATCTAGCAGCACCGGATCATCGCGCTGTCGCATAATCTCATCCAGTACCACAATATGTTGAACCTGATGCCAAACCTGAATTCCTTTCACTTCTTGCCGGTTACGTTCGTGTAAGTCATTCAAGACATCGTTCAGATGGCATTGAACAATTCCACGGGAGAAAAGTGAGTGCCCTTGAGGTGGGGGGAGCTGACAAGGGTCTCCGCAAGTCACCCAATTGAGACCACCAAAAATATGCTCTGTGTTCCCCTTGCCCATGCTGACATACTCCGAAGCCCGAGCCAGGTCGTTAGCGTTCAAAAAGTAAACCTCATCAAGAATTAATGTTCGCACTGGTGAGAGTCTTTCCTCCAGGCTTTTGCGCAAACTCGGTGTAGACTTCATCTTTGAAGGAGATATTCTTAAACTTGCCTCCGCATGGATTGTGCAGCCCCCAATATCACTAGCAACAACCCCCGTTGGAGCGGTGAGGCGCAATTGCTCTGGGTATCCGATAATGTCATAGAACTCTTTCCAGGCCTTGAATATAACCGACTTCCCGGTACCGCCTGGGCCAGTGCACAGCAACGTCATCGGGTCGTCGACTCGCTGGTTATGCAGCTCCATTCCAATTTTGTCGGCCACTAGAAGAAAGGCCCGGGTTTGCTCGTCGTTCAGTGTGTGTTTGACAATCAATGCGAGGCAGAGTTTCTGATAGTCGAGTAAGGAAGCCCATGGAGAACTGGAACTTGTGACTGGCTGCTTTTGAAAGCGAGCAGAGGTTGCTTTCGCATGTTTCAGCTCCCCCGCTAGCGTGGTGGATAGCGCTTGCGGAATTCGTTCTGAGGGTGGACGACGGTGGGTTCCACTCCTCTGATTTTCTGCAGCTTTGATGCGACCTTTGATCAACAGGTCTTTCTCTTTTAGCAGGGCTTTACTTGCCATTTCTGCGACGATCTTATCATCCTCGTTTCCAAATTTTGTCATCTCAAGAAGGGTTCCAGGCGCAGCCTCCCCCGTCAAGGAATAAAAACCGGCATTTGCGGCCTGGACCAGTATCTGCTGGGCGTCGCGCGTTGCTTGCGTGTTTTTGACAGGTATGTCCCCGGTATCGAACTCGTCGGGGTCCATAACGGCTTGCATTGCATTTTCCCAAACAGGATCAAACTCCACTTCTCCCTCTTCATCCACATCAATACCGGAATCCCTCGCAGCTGTCAGCAACGCTGCCATTCTCTTCCCTCGCCTTGCTGCATAATCGAATTTTGCATCTCTTGTCTGAAATGGAAGCTGCATATTAAGACAGACTCGAAGATGATCCAGCGACATTGTGGGCTTGAAAATGTTGAACGCATCTTCCCAGCCAAGCTCAGCTGCTTTTACAGGTGACGACTTGTCGTTTGTCCACGGTTGGAATAGTACTAACATCACAACTGCATGCTTCAGCCTGTCTTCATCGGTGTCGTTACGCGGAACTCGATAACCCATTAGTACAGGGATGATAGGTGAGTCCAGTTCTTTGAGACAGTGGGTGGTGTACTCGGGATGACCGGGCTTGAAAGTCAAGTACGTTTTACTCTGCGTCTTGGAGGAAGGTTTCTTTTCTTTGACATAGTTTCTCATTATATCCCAGGTGCATGTCGACTCAAGTTCGTAAGGGCGATAGAAGATATCATTGAAGAGTTTTGAACATCGCTTCTCTTCAGGTGAGCTTTCTGGTAGTTCCTGCTCAAGCGTCCCAGGTGAGAGTACAATGAGTGTGTCGTCCTCATCCTCCGGAATGACTAGTTGTTGAACGCCGTCAGGTCCCTCGGTTTCAGCTCCATCGAATTCACCAACGGGTTTTTGAATTGCAAAAATATTGCGGGCTACATCTCGCAAGAGGGAAGACCACCAATACTCGACATATTCATCGGAAGTGTAGCTGTTCTTCCGGCCTAATAAGAAGGCCGCTGTCTGCTGACCGGTAAGTTCCCGTTTTCCCACTAGGGAATTTGTTGTCTTGACCATCATCAGCCGACTTGTCTCGGAAGCATCAGTATTGCCATCCAAGTCTGTGGGAGGGTTGTCGCGCAGGGTTTTTATTGAAGCACACAGTGCCGAAAAGACAATTGAGGTATCGAGTTGCAATTTTGTTGTATAATTCATCATGTACTCAATCATAGCCATTGTGGAAGTGCCCGAAGAAATTTGCTTGAGGTCTGTGTTGCAGCCGAGCGCCAAGGTAATTGTCGGATTGTGACCGTTCAAGTGTCCGTTCTCACACCGTATTTGTAGGTCGCCATCCTCATCAAAATGAGTCTGTGAAACAAGCGGTCGCGGGAGTTCAAAACGGCAGTCCTTGTCCGGATCCATTAGACATTTCATTTGGCGTGGTATGTGCTTGAAACAAGTTGCATTATGCTCGTGAACAAGACCAGTGTTCTCACACAGGTCCCGATGCCGTTGATCTCTGGTCCGCTCGTAGTCTGCCGAGTTGGGATCCAGCGGACGGCTCAAGACAGGCAACTGCTTGGGCATACCCTTGGGAGCATTATACGGCACTGTACCCTTGGGGAAACTCTGGCAGATGATGTTGTCGTACCACGCCGTGAGTTTTCGTTTAAATTCGGGGTCGGCATTCATACGTTCCTTCATATCCAGCGGAGAACAATACAGCCCTCTCAACCATATCAGAAGGTGGATGTGCAAAGAGCCTCGAACCTGGGCCTCAACTACTGCATACCAGCCTAAAACCTCTCCCAGAACTCCAATTTTCGAAGCTCGCTCCGTGCCCAAAATAATTTCGAAAAATTTTGTGATGATGAGGTGAAAGAACTCAGCTCCCGCAACTGGGTTTTCAGCTAATGCCTTCACACGAGCACCTCCCTCTTGATCCGCTCTACCAAGACAATCAAATATCTGGTCCAAGTTGATGTCCCTGCCGGCCAGAACTTGCGCCACGGGATTATGAGCATCTGCAAGGTTCACGGTCGC